CAGAGGCATCTAAAGGGAAGGTTTTCTCCAAACTTGACTTGCGCGATGCCTACTTCCGAGTTCGCATTAAGGAGGGGGACGAGGGGAAAACGTCGTTCAATACACCTTTGGGTCAATTCGAGTACCTAGTCATGCCCTTCGGACTTCAAGGGGCCCCAGGGGTCTTCATGAACTTGATCAATGAAGTCCTCCATGAGTTCTTGTTCAAAGGTGTTGTTATTTATTTAGACGACGTGTTACTGTACTCCCAGGACCTACCCTCGCATGTTAAACTGGTCAGAAAGGTCCTCAAAACGTTGCATAAGCACAAACTGTTTGCTAAGCTATCCAAGTGTAAATTCCACAAAACTCACATTGACTTCCTGGGCTGCCGCATTTCGGGGGAGGGGTTGGAAATGGACCCTGGGAAAGTTAAGGATGTTGTAGAATGGGAAGCCCCCAGGACCCGACGCCAACTGCAGGGGTTCTTAGGATTCGCCAATTTTTATCGTTCATTTATCAGGGGCTTTGCCCAAATTGCGCTACCCCTCACTGATTTGCTCAAAACGAAGGGGAAGGGGTTTGATGCCACGAAGCCCGGGGCTCCGCTCAAATGGTCGGCAGAATGTGACACTGCTTTTCGACGGTTGAAAACCATGTTCACATCAGAACCTGTGTTAGCACATCCTGATGAAACTAAAATGTTTATTGTGCAAACTGACGCTTCGGATGTGGCTATGGGAGCTGCAATCTTACAGAAGGAGGAGGATGGGAAACTGCATCCTCTCGCGTATGTCTCTAAAAAATTCTCAGACGCTGAACGGCACTGGTCAATTTGGGAGAAGGAGGCGTCGGCTATTAAGCTGGCCTTGTCAACCTGGCGCCATTGGCTGGAGGGGGCGAGGGTTCCTTTTGAAGTCTGGACTGATCATAAGAATCTTGAAACTCTCAAATCGCCAAAAACCCTCAATGCCAAGCAATTGTGCTGGGCGGATTTTTCCTCCAAGTTCCAGTTCACTCTCCATCATTTCCCGGGGGCGGCTAACTCTTTGGCTGATGGGTTGTCCCGCCTCCCGCAACACGAGAGCCAACACGACGTCATCATTGACTCAATTTTCACTCCCGCCCAACTGGGCGGAGCTGTAGTCACTCGCAGCCAAGCGCAACGCCTTCCCATGGCCCCTTCTCCTCCTGCTCCTCCTCCACCCTCCTTGCCTATGGGGGGGGAATGGCACAGCCGCTATGTGTTGGACTTTTCTGGCAACGATGAGGAGCTACTACAGGGATTCCCTGATTGCATTCGCACTCCGGAGGGCTTGGTTTACCTTGAAAACAAACTTTATGTACCTATTTCTCTCCGCAGGGATGCACTCCAGGCAGTTCATGGCACCAAGTTGGCGGGGCACTGGGGTTTTGTGAAGTCCCTCCACCTCCTGCGGCGGCAATGTTGGTGGCCACACATGCGCAAAGATCTCTTGGACTTTGTACGTTCCTGCCAAACTTGCGCATTAACAAAGCCGAGGGGGGGGAAGTCCCCTGGTCTCCTGCAACCCTTACCTACCCCTAACAGACCTTGGGAAGTCATCTCTATGGACTTTATCACTGATCTGCCTCTCAGCAAGGGAAACTCGGTTATTTGGGTGGTGGTTGATTTATTCTCCAAACAAGCTCACTTCGTTCCTCTGCCTTCGTTACCAACGTCCCAAAAGTTGGCTAGGGAATTCCTCCAACACATCGTGCGCCTCCATCTTTTGCCTACCAAAATAATTACGGACAGAGGCACACAATTTGTTTCAAAGTTTTGGAAAGAGCTCCTAGCCATCATGGGGGTGGAGCAAGGACTCAGCAGTGCCTATCACCTAGAGACTGACAGCCAGACGGAACGTGTTAACCAAACCTTGGAACAGTATTTGAGATGTTTTACTAATTATCAACAAGATAACTGGTGTGACTTGTTGCCACTGGCTGAATACTGTTATAATAACACTGTGCATAGTTCCATTGGTATGTCACCTTTTAAAGCGGTACATGGGTATGACAGCCCCCCTTTGCCTTTCCTGGGGGGGGACAAACCTCTGCAGCCTACTGATGCTGGATCTTGGTGTAAATCGTTGCAAGAGGTTTGGCCAATTCTCTGCCAAACATTAGATGCGGCTAAGGCCGCTTACAAAGTACAGGCTGACAGGGGTCGGGTGGTGGGTTGGGATCTGCAGCCTGGTGATTTGGTGTATGTGTCAACTAAGAATATGAAAGTACTCAGACCTAGCAAAAAGTTAAGTTGGAAGTATATTGGACCCTTTCCAGTACGTAGGCTGATTAATGCTGTTACTGTTGAAGTTGACCTTCCAAAGAATTTGCGTTCTCTGCACCCTGTGTTCCATATGAGCCTATTAAAAAAGGACACGAGTCAGTCGCAATGGAGGCCTGCACGGGACCCTCCTCCTCCGGTGTTAGTGGAGGGGGAAGAACACTTCGAGATTGCTAACATCTTGGACTCCAAATTGAAACGTGGTAAACAGTATTATCTGATTGAATGGGTGGATTTCGGAGTGGGTGGAAGAAGGGGATATTCAGGCCCTTTACATGCTCCGGGACTTTCACAAAAAGTTCCCGGACAAACCAGGAGGTCTCCCGCCCAATCCGGGAGACAGTGGGTAAGGTGTATTTTCAGGTGGGCAGTATGTCAGCAAGCTGCCATTGTGTGCTGTGTTACAGTGTAACTTGTAAATTGTGCTCTGTCCCTTCCCCCCCCCTCCAAGTTCCTCTGGTAGGTGTTTACTTTCGTTCGCTCGCTGCTCTGCGAAACTGCTCAAGGTCAACCTGCTGGAGGTGGGATGGTGTTATGGCGTTGCTTTGCTTGTTATGCATCCTAAGCCTGAGAACTGGACTTGTGGTTATGTTGTAGAACCATTGTGTTCCCAAGGAATTGGGCGCTCATTTTATCTACACTCCCGCCAGCGGGAATTGGGCTCATTGGTCCTAACCTGGTTCAAGTTCCTTTATTATGCTCCCCTCTGGGGTCTATAGTTATTCATAACAATCCTTGTGTTCATGCTCTAACCACAGCCTCATAATAAATCTAACTTTGTCCTCAAACGTGGAGTTATTTCGAGTGCATGGGGAAGCGGACAGAGGGGAAGGGAAAGGAGTTTGTAAGCCGCTCTGAGACTCCGAGTGAAGGGTGGGGTATAAATCCAATCTCCTCCTCCTCCTCCTCCTAGCCATTGTTTCTCCAAGCTAAAGAGACCCAAGTCCTTTCTTCATAGGGAAAGTGTTCCAACCCTTTTATCATTCTAGTTGCCCTTTTCTGCACTTTTTACAATGCTATAATATCCTTTTTGAGATGTGGTGACCAGAACTGTACACAGTACTCCACACGAGGACGTACCATCGATTTGTACAGGGGCATTTTGATACTGGCTGATTTGTTTTCAATTCCCCTCCTAATAATCCCCCGCATAGCATTGGCCTTTTTTATTGCAGTCACACACTGTCTCAACATTTTCAGTAAGTTGTCTGCTACAGTTCCAAGATCTCTCTCTTGGTCAGTCTCTGCCAGTTTGGACCCCATCAATGTATATTTATAGTGAGGATTTTTTGCTCCAATGTGTATCACTTTGCACTTGGCCACACTGAACCCCATTTGCCATGTTGACACCCAGTTGCCCATCCTCAACAGATCCCTTTGGAGTGCCTCACAATCCTCACTGGTTTTCACCACCCTGAACAACTCCGTATCATCCGCAAATTTAGCCACTTCACTGCTTACTCCCAACTCCAAATCATTAATTAACAAGTTAAAAAGTATCGGACCCAGTACAGAGCCCTGCAGAACCCCACTGCTTACCACCCTCCACTGAGAAAATTGTTTTTTTATACTCACTCTCTGTTTCCTATTAATTAGCCAGTTTTTGATCCACAAGAGGACTTGTCTTTTTAGCCCATGACTATTGATCTTACTTAGGAGACTTTGATGAGGAAGTTTATCAAAAGTTTTCTGGAAGTCATGGTAAACAACATCTATTGGGTCCCCCTTGTCCACATGTTTGTTCATTTCCTCAAAGAACACTAACAGGCTAGTGAGACAAGATCTTCCCTTACAGGACCCATGCTGAGCATGGAAAACTTACCTTTTTAGAGATAGGAGTGACATTAGCTACCTTCCAGTCCTCAGGAATTGAGGCAGATTTTAATGAAAGATTACATATTTTTGTCAGGAGAGCCACAAGTTCACATCTGAGTTCTTTCAGAACTCTTGGATGTATGCCATCCAGGCCTGGTGATTTATCAGTTTTTAAGTTGTCTATCAGTCGTACGACCTCCTCTCTCATCACCACAATCTGACTCAGGTCTTTCAACACCCCTCCCGAAATCAGCAGTTCTGGAGTGGGCAAGCACTTCTCATCTCAATTTTCAGGCATTTCAATCAGACATAAGGAGTAGCAACATGACCTTTAAAATATTGAAAGCATAATCCTCAATGCTCAGTATAGACATCCAAATTACATCCAGATGGCTAGATTATGTATTTGCTGCTGTTGCAGTCATGCCATACAAGATTTCTAGATTTCTAGCACTGCTGACAATTTTCTGTAGATATCTCCCAGAACCTACAGTACAGTTTGCCTCTGATTCTAGATGTAATTCAAGCCTTAAGGTATGTTGCAACTATTTTGGACCCTGCAAATTTATCTTAATCAGTTACACATACCATTTTTAAAAAATGATTACCTCTAAAAGTATATATAGAGAAATACATTTTATGCCTTTGGAACCCCTGTTTCTCCCCCTCTTTTTGTTCTCATAATATCCCAGTGACATAGGTTAGGCTAGGAAGAAATGGCCAGCCCAAGGTCACCCAGTGAATTTTCCATGGCTGAGTTGGGATGTGGACTTGAACTACCCAGTCCATATCTGATACTGAAACCTGTTCACCACACTGGCTTGGTAACAAAGCTGAAATAAAGCCTCCAAATTTTGAAAGCAGGGTATTATCAATTCATTCCCATTCTATGTTGTAGGAAGATGCGTTAATGAGAGACTGCGCTGCGACGGAGAGGATGGCTGTGGAGATTACTCAGATGAAAAAAATTGTAAGAAAGTATCTAACGCGTGTGACCAAGATACTGAACAATACTGGGGCATCCAGATGTTAGCAAGTGGGTAAGCACCTCTATATATTCTGCCAATAGGCTTTATGCCAAGTCAGACAACTTTTGTTTTAGATCAGGTGTGGCCAAACTTGCTTGACGTAAGAGCCACATAGAATAAATGTCACATGTTTGAGAACCGCCAGACATGAACAAATATTGCACGTTTTTACTGGCAAATTGCAAATTTGCTTTTTATTAACATTAAATGAGACTGCCAAAAATAATAACAAAAGCGGTAAAAGCAGATATTGATAATGATATTTATTTGTCCTATGATACTTGTTTGCTAATGATATTTAGTTCCCCTGCTGCCCTGCTGGGAGCCACACAATATGTGTGAAAGAGCCGCATGCAGCTCCTGAGCCACAGTTTGGCCACCCCTATTTTAGATTCACTTGGCCTCAGATTTGAAAATGTACCTAGGCTACAGTCTTACAGATTCTTGGAGGTGTGTGTGTAGGTCTGAAGTGGCAGAATTAACATCCACTTCTCTGACCAGCACAACTGAGCAGTGGCACCATTTGGAAACACAATGCATGTGAACTCTTATGTTCATGGACATGACTTCCCACAGTCCTCTTCCCATAGAAGCTCCCTTTGATGACCCAAAAGTTGATGCGGGAGTAGAGGGAGCCTCACAGACAAAATCCAATGAGACATAAGTGGAGAGAGAACTGGGTAAATCCCACACACATACACACCTTCCTCTTCTGCTGGCATAGGAAACATGGTGGAGCAAGAGTCCCATTTCCATAACTGGATGCACTGCCAACTTTGCCCGATTCCATCTCCTTTCTTCAGCCTGCATCCCAGCATGCCTCTTGGCATCTGCCTTGAGTCTCAGCTGAGAAAGGCAGACTATAAAAAAGTAATAATAATTGTGTCCACAAGGCTGTCTCACCCCTAGCCTTGGATGTTCCAGATTCTTAGGGAGCCACCGGGTGAAGAGGAAGGTGGGGAAGATCCACCTGTGTAAACCCCTTCTGGTTGAATCTGCCCAAGAGAAGCATCATATGAGTAGCTGCCAAGCCACCATTGAGAACTTGTCTTTCACCTTAACAGTTTAGTCAAAGACTTCATCCAAACATCATTGGATATTGCACTATTGTTGCACTATAGCAATCAATCCCCTCCTTGATTTTCTTACATGCAGGGCTATTTTTGGGCAGGAACGCACAGGAACGGAGTTCCGGCTGGCTCCCAAGTTGGCCACGCCCAGCAGGAACTCATTAGCATAATAGGCCACACCCAACAGCAGAAACTAATTAGGATTGGCTACATTAGGGGTGTGTAGCCTAACATGCAAAGGAGTTCCTGCTACAAAAAAGCCCTGGGTTTTGACAACAGACAAGGTAAACAGAATAACAAGCAAAAGGTGGGTGTGGCTGGATAACCACACTTCTGGTAACATGTGGGTGCGGCCTAATGTGCTAATGAACTGTGCTGCCAGAGGTGTGGCCCAATATGCTAATGAGTTCCTGCTGTTGGGTGTGGCCTATTATGCTAATGAGTTCCTGCTGGGCTTTTTCTACAAAAAGAGCCCTGCTTACATGTATAGGAAAATCTAGTTGTGAATTATTTCTGTAGTGTGGGGGTCCCCAACATGGTTCCCGTGGGTGCCATGGAGCCCACCGACACCTTTTCTGGTGACTGCCATGACTACCAAGTATTTTTACAAAGTGGATGGGGTGAGGTAGGGCTTTTGTCCAGCAAGGCTTCTGATTATTTGAGATTTGATTGTCTGAGTAGTTTTTTTAAAATGTCGCTTTGACAGTAGCAGCCGCCACAGCACAGGATCTGCACTGTGTTAATGAAGTTAAGCTGTGGCAATAATTTTGTGGCTGGCTTCACCTCCTATGGCAACATTTTGTGGCAGCCATTTTGTTGTTGCGCCCACCATGCCCTGTCAGAATTCCAAATATGACCACAGACTCAAAAAGGTTGGAAATTTCAAACTACCTCACAGGGTGTCTGTTGCGGGGAGAGGAAGAGAAGGAGAATGTAAATTGCTCTGAGACGCCGAGTGAAGGGTGGGATATAAATCCAATCCCCTCCTCCTCCTCCTCAACAGCACTGAACCTAAGCATGGAAAACTTACCTGTATGCAGGCATGATGGAAAAGTCTTGCATTTTGCTTCTTGCATGTGCCTAGATGTCGGGGTCGGGTCTGGCATCATTGTCCTATTTGCCTTTCCCTGATTTTAACTTGATACAATTTTAGAAAATCTGCATTGGACCTTTGAAACATTCTATTAGGCAAGTACAAGAATTTTTCCATCCTTGATATGTTACATGAATCCATGAAGGATTTGCCATTAGTTGAATACAGTCAGATTCTGCTTGACTACTGCTGTAAATGTGCCACTGAAATGAAAAGCGGATTGTATTCCTGTGAGAAATTATCTCATCTCTCCTCATTGCATTTGGTGTTCCAGTGATTATAAGAAACTAGAAAACTGAAAATGCATTTGACAGTAATTCTTGTAATTTAAAGGCATCTTTATTTGGCCTGTTTTTATTCGCTTAGAATATTTTCTGTTTCTCCTCTTCTATAAAGTACTTTACATTTTTGCCTAAGTCAATAGAATTCATGCCTTGCAGTCTGTTACACTAAGGGACAGAGTTGCTTCTTAGGGCATCCTAGCCCACCTTTCTCTACAGTATAATGGATTGCTGAAATTTGGGGCTCAACATTCCAGTTTCAACACATTTGCAGTCTACTCTCTAATCCAGCATATGTGAGATGAGATGGGCATGCTTGAATGCACACTGAATTGGATTACTAAATGCCTGTTCATCACAAGCATGAAGCTGACCCCTCATGGTGCTGTTGGGCTGCACACAAGAGGCCCAACTCTGTTTATTGGACTACTCCTTGTGTGTAGCATGTTACATGTGAAGACAATAGGGTTAGACCACTGGGCACTCCGCCCTCCGTGGCTTCCTTCTCCCCCACAAACTCATTGCTACTGTGGGAGACTGAGAGATGTGGAGAGCCTTCTGAATAGTGGCAATCGGGGAGAGAGGAGATGTGGGAGGCCGACCCACCAAGTGGTTGCAGACCCTCCACAGCTCCCCTCCTCTCACGACTTGGCAAGCCCCCATGCTTTCTGAAACAATACTCAGCAAGCCCCTGATATCTTAAATACCTCTACCACTTATCAAGCTTATCCACATCTCCCTGGCCAGGCCAGAATATGGAACATTCTGACTGCAGAACCCATAGCAACTGCCTATAACTTATTTTGTATTCAACTGACAATTAATGTGTATACCTTCTCTGCATTCCATTTCCCCAGATTAAATATCTTCACAAATAATCTGGAAGGATTAGTTCTGGATCATAGCTATTATGGTTTATCGTGTTATCTACAGTATATCGGGGACACCAGATTTAGAAAACCCTACAATGTACATAGCTATTCAGCAGAGGTAAGGATCAAGGAGCTGTATGCACAGATTAAATGGATGGCATTGTTGATTCTTCATCACATTTGTAAATTTGAATTTGTGGCCAAGCAGCCTCGATTTACACTGTTCTATTTCATATGGATTTCAGATAACCTGGGAGATTCTGGTGTACTGCATGCAATTTTTAGAGATAATCCTGAAGGTTTGCTCACAGAAAATGTCTGGGGTCAGAAGGTTCATTACTCCTTCAAACAGATGATTTTCAGACTATTCAGAATATGAATCAGTAAATCAGTGTACTTGTAATTTATCAGTAAAAGCAGCCTAAGTTCATCATCATCATCATCAAGTTTATTGTATTAGCCATTGGCCATAACAAAGCATAAATACAAGAGCAGCCTAAGTTGCATATGAACACTAGAGGCCTTACTAATGCTGCAGAAGGTACACATATGCATTTCAACTGAATCACTGGTGTTTCTTCTACCAGCTGGTCATTACTTGTTGAGCATGAGGGTGAACACAGGATGTAAGCACTGGAAGAAATCTTGTATGTGAAATGTTCTAGAGTCGTCACTGTGTTAAACTCTTGCAATAAAAAGTGGTACCTTAAAGATTTACTGTGATGAAAGCTTGTGCAGTCTAGTAGGCTGTAGTCTATGGAAGTTTATGCCACAGTCCATCTGACCTGGATGGCCCAGACTAGCCTGATGTAGTCAGATCTTGGAAGCTATACAAGGTCAGCCCAGGTTAGTACTTCGATGGGAGAACACCAAGGAAGTCCAGAGTTGCTACAGATAGAGACAGGCAATGGCAAACCACATCTGCTCATCTCATGAACTGAAAACCCTATGGGATAGCCATAAGTTGTCTATGACTTTACAACATTTTACACCACCATATCTGTAGAGATGCCATGGGACTCCGTTTAGTTTTTGTGCATATATTGTACTACATCCCTTACATATGCTTCTGAACAAAAGTTTAGAAAAGCCAGTCATCTTCAGAATAGTCCTAACTTCCTGTTCACATGAACAAATTTTGGGTCCAGTGGCACCTTTAAGACCAACAAAGGTTTATTCAAGATATGAGCTTTCATGTGCGTGCACACTTTTTCAAATACATTGGAATGGAAAGTAACAGTTCAAACTTATCGAACTATGTCGGGAAACAGTCCTCCTGATGATGCAGCTAACCGTGGTCTCAATCAACGAGGCTTCTGGCGGGGTTGGCAGGACAAAGAAGCCTGACCGGACCCACGGGCGAGCACATGAGCGGTGCTGAGATACCTCGAACCCAGATCAGGCAGGAGTTGGGGGAGGAACGGGAGGAGACCCCCTCAGATATCCCGCGGAGGGCCAGGCATTCCCACGACTCGGCCAGAGAGAGGCACACCTGCAATCCAAGGAAGACGAAATGGCAGGGCCCGAGGAGGTCAACATTATGGGGTTTATCAGCGACACATGGGATGGATTCCCGGGGAGGGAAGAGGGAAGCCCACGGGACCCATGGCCATTCTGCTATAGGCTGGAGTGGGGGCTAGGGGGAATAAAGAGGAGGAAGCTGGGCGCGGCCGGGGAAGATGAAATCAGAACGGATGTGCATGTGGGCAACAGCTGTGGCGCAACACTGTGCCTCGAACCTCCGGACTGAAGAGGGACCCCTCAGTGCAAAGAATGGAGGGCTCTCCCACATCTGAGGCCACGTCAGCTGGAACCTCACGATTCCCGGGGTCCTCCCGCCAGTTAATCTGACCCCAATAAGAGGGCAGTTCCTGACAAACTATTACCTTCCATTCCAATGTATGTGAAGAAGCGTGCATGCACACGAAAGCTTTTGAATAAACCTTTGTTGGTCTTAAAGGTGCCCCACTGGACTCAGAATTTGTTCTACTGCTTCAGACCAACACGGCTGCCCACCTGGATCTATCTTCCTGTTCATATAACAACTACCCTTAACAAAGACCAAGTCTTCGGTTTCTTTTTTTAGGGCTTAAACTCAGGTCTTCTGGGATATAGAAAAAAGGGCAAAGAAGACTTAAGATATGCTTCTCACCCACGTTTCTCTGGAAGGTTTGACAAAGCCACTTAATATGTTTGACAGGGAAGGGGCCCTATATGAGAAGCAGAGCAAACATTAGAATATTTGGTTTACATGCAGAAGGTTCAACCCCTGGCATCCCCAGTTAATGGCTTATGGGTAATAAAGCTGTTTCTGCCGATAACAGTTAGATGGTCCAGTTCAAGAAGGCAGCTTGCTGTATTAATATTAAAAACCCTGTATTAAAGGCATTAGTAATGTTTATATCTAGTATATCTTCAAAGTGTAAAAGGAATATTTAAACATGTTTCTGGTGTGAAATTAGGCTACAAAAATTCAAGCACATTGCTTTTTCTTGCTTTTTATTTAGACCAAAGGCACATTTGGTTTTACATTGACTGAGCATGAATCTTACTCAAGTTTTGAAGAAAATGTATCTGGGAAAAGAGCAACACAAAAAGACTTCAAATTGTATATACCAATACCATTGATTTTGGACTTTGGTTTCAGTCATGATGACTTCAGGTACAGACGGTTCATTCAGCTGACAAAAAGGTTTTCTTCAACAGTAAGCATTCTTGTACTCAATTCTATACAATGTTTGGGAGAGAGAAAGTGTGAATTGTTCTCTAAGACCTCCATATTCATATCAGAATATCAGTGTGTGGAAAGTTATGCCACCAGTTCTTTTCAAATGAGGACAATCTGAAGTATTTTGCTCAGTTAACAGCAACCAACACGCAAACACAATTCCCTTAGTCCAAAAGAGAAATCCATATGTAGACGACTGCGCCTTCATGCAGGTCAACCCTCCTAGATTAAGTTTTGCACTGAGAGGAAAGGATTTAGTATATGTGGATGCTTGCCCCCATGCTCTTGCACAATGTGTGTTACCTAACATAAACCTATATGACCAAGGGCCACCAAGCTAAATCATAGTCCTGATTTGCCAACCAAAATAGACAAGCCATTAGGTCCTTGATGGGCCACCATAAATGTCTTGTTCCCCAATGAATTATACCCAGAATTCAGAATTCTGTTTCCAGCAGCAATTAACCAGATGCCTTCGGGAAGCTTCCAAACAAGGTATGAAACAGTAACGCTCCTCTATTGTTTGGTGGATGGCTGTATGCTTGGAGCTTCCTGTTAGCTACCATGCCTAAAGTCATTGATATCCTGAAACTTCATTAATTGCCCCCCCCAAAAAAAACGTAGATGAACAGGTGACTGTTGGCACATCTTGTGGAAGTTAATCCCATGGGAGAGGGAGAAAAATCTCTTCATCAACTATAACTTTCATAATTTTATCTGTTCTATCTCTCTCATATTCTCTATTCTAAACTAAAAAGCCAGAAACACTGGAGACTCTTCTTGTTGAAATGATGCTCCCGTACCTTGATCATTTTAGTTAGCGTCTTTGGTACCTTTTTGTTAAATAGTGGGTTTAACATGGCAGAGGCAAAGGCATAGTGATTTCAGCAAGCAGCAGTTTATTGCATCTCAACAGGAATGCTTTACATGGGGCAGCTGCCCTAACTATATATACCTAAGCCACTCCCAGCCCCCATACGATGGGTGAGTTCAAATGGCCTCCAGTCTCCAAGATTGGCTGGCTGTCCTCAGGGGCCAATCCACAGGCAGGTTCTAGGATCCTGCCTGCCTTTGTTCTGGGGCTTCAAGCTCCACTAGGTGGACTGCCCAGACAAGCCCCTCCACACTTCCTCTAGGTGGCCTGCCAAACAAGTCCAGGCATGCCTCCAGCAGCAGTTAAGCTGGAGTGGAAGATTTCTCATTTCCAGATGAAAAGTACTGGAAGCGGAGGCTTAGCGTAGTGAATCAGCTCAAGGTTTATTGATTACATCAGGAACTCGAAGATAACTTTGGCCGGCTGCAGGCCGGCTTATATGCGTGAACACACCACACACAACACACACCCCAAGCCCAGTGATAGGTTCTATTTACATGCAACAGACCTGGTTGGTCTACTTTCGGATCCGGGTGAACCCATTGGTGAGTTCGTGGCCATACTTACTTAATACCCTAGCGATGTGCCCGGCCTTGTTGCAAGAACGGCAGACCGCGGTCCGGAAATGGCACGACTTGCGCTCGTGGTCCTCTCCGCAGCTGGCACACAGGCTTGGAAGCGAAGCCTTGTCGGTCCTGGAGGCTGCGTGTTTTGGTCGCCGCTGAGTCCGCTGTCGGAGCTGTCGAACTTCCTCCTGGTCTGAGGCGTCGGAGCCGCTGCTCGCTTGGGTGCGGTGGATCGCCTTGGCGCGGTGGTCTTGATGGGCCGTCTCATAGGCGGAGGCCTCCTGGACCGCCTTGGCCAGAAAATCGGAGGTGGTTTCGCTGGGGGCCTGAACTCTTGCGAAGAAGTCCAACCGCTCCACGTACTTCGTGGGTTTGGGAGCCAGATGGTCGGTCAGGGCCTGGACTAAGGAGCTGTATGACTCGTCCTTCGTTAGTTTGGGCGAGATTAAGTCCTTGAGGAGCCGATGGGTCTGGATTCCGCAGTGGCTCAGCAGGTAAGCCTTCTTCATCGCGTCATCCACCACCTTGTGGATGGTGAAGCGGCTCTCCAGCGTGTCCAGCCAGGTGTCCCACAGCGAGGGCTGGGAGAGATCGAAAGCGGGCAGGCTTTCTGTTGCGGTCGCGGTCGCCATTGTGCTGCCGCCACGTGGTGGGGTGGCCTCTGGAACGGCGATTGCGTCGGGAGCGTTGTGGAGGTCGCTGCTGCTCTCGGGGTCAGCAGGGAGCGAAGCGGAGCTGGGAGCGGAGCGATGAGCGGTTGCCGGAGAGCTGGGATGCGAAGCGGCGTGGTTCCCGGAGGTCTCGGCGTCGGGGCTCAGTGCGGTGCTTGTGTTGGCGTCCGGGTCTTTGTTCATGGGGTTGTGGATCCCATCCTCGTCGCCAGTGAAAAGTATGCAGACGGAGAGTGAATTCAGCTAAGCATACCTTTATTTAGTTCAGGACAAAGACAAGGGACCAGCTCGCAGGCTGGTTTATATACGTTCAGAAAACCCACCACCAAGTACACCTAAACACACCCCCTACTCCCGATAGGCTATTTACAGTAACCGGGCGACTATTGGTCTCCCGGCTGAGAAGCTGGCCCTTTTGATTGGGCCGGCTAGGATCCTTCGGATCCTTTGTCTTGCGACTGAAGCTATGAATGAGTTGTGCCTGGCCAGCCCGGGCAAGTCCGGGCATGTCAGGCTGAATACATTACACAGACATAACACTTTTCCTATGCTATGATATCCTTTTGGAGATTACGATACCCACAGCTGTGATTGTTGGCTTGTTTTTCTGTCGGATATATCTAACAGCCATAGGTGGCCTCACCATGCAGATAAAAAAAATCCACAAAATGGAACCAGACCTAGTGTATATGTTTCTGCAAACTCTGGGGGACCCCACATTACAGCAATGGATTTAAATAAAACACAAAATGGTTTTAAAATGCCAGTATCTCATGAGATTACTTCCCAAGATTTAATTTAATCCTGTTTGGAAGTGAGGGAGGTCAGAAGCCGCAGTCAGAAAAGCAGAAGGTAGGGAGGAAAGGCTGCAGAAGCTATGAGAAGTGGGGGAAGGAACTGGCAACTAGCAAGAATGGGGTGGCAAAGGAATGAGTGCAGGATCAGGTGGGGGAATGGAAGAGAGTGTGGAAGAAGGGAGAAGAACCAAACGTATTGTGGTAAGGGAAAACAGGGGCCAGCAAGGAGGGAGGCAGAGAGAAGAACAGGAAAAGATAGTACGGAGAAAAAGTTAAGGCAACGTGGGAAGAGTGCCAGCACTGGGGCCAGGGTGGGTAGGGTTTTCCCTTCTCCGTGGGTCGTTGTGGTTTCCCTGTTTGAATTTGATAATTGTTACTTTACAGTTGTTGTCTAGTGTTTTCTTGGGACAAAAGGTTGATGGGTCTATAATTTTCCAGAACGGGATCCCTTTCTTAAAAAATCTGTGCTTAATACCTTAATTAAGATTGCTGGGGAAAAGACCAACAACCTCAGATATGCAGACGATACCACTCTGATGGCAGAAAGTGAAGAGGACCTCAGGGTAAAAGAGGAGAGCGCAAAAGTGGGCTTGAAGCTCAACATCAAAAAAACTAAGATCATGGCATCCGGCCCCATCACTCCTTGGCAAATAGAAGGGGAAGTCGTGGAAGTAGTGACAGACTTCACGTTCCTGGGATCCCAGATCACCGCAGACTGTGACTGCAGTCATGAAATTAAAAGACGCCTGCTCCTTGGGAGGAAAGCGATGGCGAACCTAAACAGCATGATAAAAAGTAGAGACATCACCCTGCCAACAAAAGTCCGCATGGTCAAAGCAATGGTATTCCCAGTAGTCATGTATGGCTGCGAGAGTTGGACTATAAGAAAGGCCGAGCGCCGAAGAATAGATTCTTTTGAACTATGGTGCTGGAGAAGACACTTGAGAGTCCCTTGGACTGCAAGAAGAACAAATCAGTCAATCCTCAAAGAAATCAACCCTGACTGTTCCCTGGAAGGCCAGATAATGAAACTGAAGCTCAAATACTTTGGCCACCAAATGAGAAGGGAGCACTCACTAGAGAAGACCCTGATGCTGGGAAAGATTGAAGGTCAAAGAAGACGGGGACGGCAAAGGATGAGATAGTTAGACAGTGTCATCGATGCAACGAACATGAAGTTGAGCAAACTTCAGAGGATGGCGGAAGACCCCAAGGCCCGGCGGGAGCTGATCCATGTGGTTGCAAAGAGTCGGACTCGACTGTGCGACTGAACAACAACAACAAATATCTTTCAATACTTTTGTTTAAAAATAAACAAATGGAGTTTAATAACAAAAATAATATTTTTGTTAAAACTGAAAAAATTTACACTAAAATTACCAGGTAAATGCATCTGGCCTGTTGGCTTTAAAATTGCATTTATTTATTTGTTTGTTTGTTTGTTTGTTCACCCACGTAACATCTGTTCCGGTTCTTTAACATCTTCTGCAGTGCCTGCCACCTGTATGGTCCAGCCTGAATCCAGACACTTGTTCATCTTGCTTGTTTGGCCTCTACATGATGCACAATATCAGAGACCATGTCAGTAGAGGAAGATTCAGATAGATAGTAGATCGCATATATGGACTCAATGTATTTATGTATGTATACAGGGAAGGGGCTGGCATGGTAAAAAAAGATCTCAATAGACTATGTAAATATTCACATTTGAATCAGATAAATATATGTTATGTGATATGACTTTCAAAAGAGTAGCTGTGCTAGTCTGTTATGGTGATGGTGGAAGATGCTGTCAATTTGTAGTCAATTTATGGCAACCCATAGATCTTTCAAGGCAAGAGACAAACAGAGGTAATTTGGTATTGCCTATGTCTGAGTAACAGCCCTAGGCTTTCCTTGGTGATCTCCCAGTCCAGGACCAATCAAGTTTTGCTTCTGAAATCAGGTAGCCTGGAAGGGTTGCTGAGTCCCCCTGGCCACCTGGCAGGTGATGGTGGGGGGGTAGGGTTGCCAGATCCAGGTTGGGAAACTCCTGGAAATTTGAGGGTGGTGCCTGGGGAGGACAGGGACCTCAGTGGGGTACAATGCCACAGAGCCCACCCTCCAAAATGTCCCTTTTCTCCAGGAGAACTGATCTCTGTAGTCTGGAGATGACCTGTAATTCTGGGGGGTCCCCTGGTCCCACCTGGAGGCTGTATAGGAAAATATAATCCAGGTCCCAGATGGAGGCTGGCATCCCTAAACCTGGGTAATCTAGGTTGGGGCAAATCTGTTGCCGCAAAGTAAAATAGAAACCAAGTGTCTCATTTAAATCTAATCAAGTTTACCTCAGCATGTACTTTCATGAATCAAATCTCACAAAAAATTATGCTGAAGTACACAGTACAATTGTGGCTGAAGTGCCACGATTTCACTTTTCTTTATATCCTTGGCTCATCATGGTATATCACTATGTGAGGGGATGGCTGGATACAAGGCCTCTACGATCATGATTTCTTCAGACTCTGTTTTTCCAGGAGCAGTCTTTGAGACAACTGCTGTTCTGTCCTTGCAATTTCCAGGGGGATGTCAGCATGCACATACAAGGCCCGCTAATGTTAGACTGGTGAAACAAGACAGGTACTGTCAGTTCAGAAAATAGCAATAGAAGTAAAGAAACCAACCTATTCAACTGCAAAGCACTCATGACAGTAATATATAATGAAAACTGCTTACAGGCTTTTCATAGTTTAATTATAGACTGAAGCAAGCCATTTCACCTTGGAAGAGTTGATGCAGCCACGGAATTCTCTTTTCAGGAAAGTAGTGTATGCTGCATAAAATATAAACAATATCATTATAGATAGGCTAGTCCCACAAAGTTACAGGATTTCTTCCAACTCAAAGCACAGTCCACTTAGTACTTAAGAACTGGGACAATATTTGCTCTGAAGTCTTCCATTTTTCCAGTATCCCATATACAACCAGAATAAACAATGCTGACTTTAATCTTTCATGTCAATAATTTTAAAGTAAAAAAAGAGACCACCATCATAATAAGGTTTGAATAGGAGGGCAGGAATTCATTCCCATGATGAACAGGCAGGGGTCATTTCCTGCTGGAACGTGCTGGAATGGCACTCCGGCAGTAAGGAGCCCCCCACCTTTCCTGGCCCACCCGCCCAGGTGGATGGGCCAGGGAACACCTGCAGAGCCCCCCCCCCACCGCCTTTCTTTCCCTTCCCCAGGCATTCTAAACATGCCTGGGTTCCCTGCCGATCTTTTCTATGTGCCCTGCAGCCATGGGGCACCTGGAGATCGGGCAGGGAACACAGGCATGTCTGTCTGCCTGCCCTTCCCTTCTCCAGCCAGCCTGCCATGGCGGGTTGGCTGGGGAGGGGAAGGGGAGGCGGGCAGACATGCCCCCCTTTCCCCCTGACCCTCTCCATTTTTGCAAAGAAACTCAGGGAAGTGGGGGGGGGATTTAAATGCCTTTCTTTCCCTTCCCCATCTGGGGAAGGGAAAGAAAGGCATTTTAAACATGCCTGGGTTCCCTGCCCGATCTTCTCCTGGTGCCCCACAGCTGCAGGGCACCTGGAGAAGATCAGGCAGGGAACCCAGGCATGCTTGCATGCATGCCGTTTGTCAGGGGGTGTGGCATATGCAAATGAGTTGTGCTAATGAGCTCCTGCACCTCTTTTTCTATGAAATGACCCCTGTGAACAGGAATAGCAATATAAATGGGAAGCTCAGTTATTATTCAAAGGCAGGACTATGAATGAAGACTGTTTTTCAAATGCCTGAATTAGATTGGATGGTTCATGTTTACAAATGAAGCATATGAATCCATGCATTTGGCAATGTTCATATTTGTTGGCAAGAGATTTTCGATGCTTACTTTTTGTTAAATTTTCTGATCTTTGTCGTTCAGGCAAATATGAATCTAAATATCTGTGGACCAAAATCCATAGGCTTTTGCCTGACTCTTGTTTTTTTCTCTTATGACTCATACACATGTACAGATAAGGAATGTAGCATTTGTCTGTCAGTGCTTTTTGAAGAATATCTGTCTTTAATGTCTGAAAGAGTTACAGGTACTTTTTCCTGTATGGTTAATTCATGATCTGAATATGCTGTTAGTACATATTGCAAACAGCAACAGAGATCTTTCATTTTTCCCCTCGTTTTCTGTTATCAAGTCACTGTCAACTTATGGCAACCCTGTAGGGTTTTCAAGGCAAGAGAAATTTGGAGGTGGTTTTCTATTGTCTGCCTCTGCATAGTGACCCTGGACTCTTTTGGTGGTTTCCCATCCAAGTACTAACCAGGGTTGACTCTGCTTAGCTTCCAAGATATAACAAGATCAGGTTAGGTTGGGCCATAAAGGTCAGGGCAAATCTTTCATACATATGTATATGTTTATGTATACACACACACATGCACATCCCACTTTGAGATGTCATGACAAACCTCTGATTCTCTGTGATGAGTATGAACACAAGTTACTGATGTTGTGTTCACATACTTTCTCCCTCCCCCCTGCCTCTTCCCCCCCACGCACACCCCATGCACACAGCATGATTTAAGAAGCTTTCTATCCTACTGTAATTTACTTTGACATCTGAATGCAAGTTCCAGGGAAAACCAGTTTCCTACTCAAAAACTCATAGTCCAAACTTCAACTTGATCCCAATTTATGGGAAGGAAACAAATTCAATTTTGTGCAAATACCTGCATTTGCCTATTACAGCAAATTGGAACGTGATACCAAACCAGGAAGCCTTCAATCACTCTTTGGTCATAACAAGGTGAATTCATGTCCATCACAGACAAACAAAGGTGTCTGAAGACAACCAATCTATAATGCTGTGCTAGAATATTTGGAATAACTTATTTCTGTTTGGTGCATTTGCTTTTTATGCAGTCTAGCAAATTTATCCATGGACATTCAGAGCTGGAAGTTGCCAAGTATAGACTGAAAACTCGAGATTTGATGCTTCACTATGAGTTCTTCCAGAGACTTCTTCGCTTACCTTTGGAGTATAGCTATGGGGAATATCGAGAACTCTACAGAGACTATGGAACACATTATATCACTGAAGCAACCCTTGGTGGCATTTATGATTATACTTTGATCATGAATGGTGAAGAGCTTCAGAAGGCAGGTGAGTTGGCAGAGGTGGCTCTGTAGGTGTCTACAGTGGTGAGCTGAGGTGGAATAATGTTTGTTGTTGGGTATTTGACTGGATGGACTCTGTACTTGCATTTGTATCTCACAAGTACCATATTTATGAGCCAGCCTTGGCTGGGAGGGCAGGGTAGAAATCCAATAAATAAATAAAATATTTGAGGAAGTAATTGGTAGTTGCCTGTTATTTCCCACTTTTCCAAGAATTGTGGTCCATTTGAATTATCGAAATATTGGCTGTTATTAGATTTTGCAAAGACAGAGCCCATTAACATCTAGTGCTCTGGGTTAGCATGGTCAACACATTCTAAATTACCAGTTGTACACAATACAGTTAATGCCCACCAACTTTGACTCCGTCAGTCTAACAGATGAAGTTATTATTTACACAAAGGATGAATCAGCCATTTTATATTCAGCTGAATGACATCTTTCAGGGCCTAATTTCTTTTGCACTTACACATATTAACATTTTAAGGAAGAAGCTGGAATCTTTCATGGGATGAAGTACATTGAGAAAAGCTAAATTAATACGATGCAACCAATCTCCAGGGACAAGAAAGATATTCCTGAGATAATTTCTTATCCTGTATGATCCCCCCTAAGCATTGAAGAATTAATAAGATTTTTTTACATTCCCATTATCAAGATAAACAAGATCACCTACACAAAGTAGTGTTTTGTTGGTGGTGGCAGATCCTGATTTTGTGTGTGTGTGTGTGTGTGGAATCCAATCTAGAGAGAAGCTTACCATAACCACACCTTTGATTTTTTTAGATGTCTAGTTAAAACCTCTTTCTTTTGCCATAGTTGTTTGACTGTCTGGTTTTTATGTTGCTTCCTGATGTGGTTTATATATTTGATTGCCTTATAATGTAGTTGGTGATTTGTTAATGTTTATTGATATACAGTGGAAATTTGGTTATGGGAAAAATGAATATGCTATATAGGATTAGGTATTGGAGCTATGTGGTTTATTTGGATAAGAAGGTATACAAACTGTTTAGAATATTTCATTGTTCTTAGTGCCTAGTGCCTGTTTCTATAACAGAAGATTCTGAATCTTTAGAATCTTTTACAACAAAATTTGTTGTAGTTATGTGACTAACCAGTGCCATGCAAAGCCAAGTTACACCCTTCTAAGCCCATTGGCATTGTTATTCTCTGTGTATTCTAGTACTTAAATTCTTTTCTTTTCTTTTTTGATAATCATCTAGGTTTTAGAACTCTTAAGAACCCGTAAATAATTTACTGGGATGAATCCCCTGTCTGACATTGTTCGTTTGACTGATAGTGTTTTCACAAGGACTAGTGCTTGTTGTGTAGAACAAAGTGCCAGTCTCTTGTTTACCCACTGGCAAAAGGAGGCTGACTGTTTGCAGAATGACTTTCTGGATTTAACAAGTAAGGGCTACAGTTAGTAACTTAAGTTGGTTAAAGGTGCAGTATGCTAGAGAGGAGAGATACCTCAGCTTCCATCTGGATTTAATAGTACCCCCAAACTGTGAATCAGGTCTTTCATGCAGAGTATAACCATATTTGTGGACATAAGAAATAAATATGTAAACAAAACTATATTTGTTGTTCGAGTCCAGTGGCACCTTTGAGATCAACAGAGTTTTATTCAAGGTATAAGCTTTTGTGTGCATGCATATTCTTTTGAACTATGATGCTGGAGAAGACTCTTGAGAGTCCCTTGGACTGCAAGAAGATCAAATCAGTCAATCCTAAAAGAAATCAACCCTGACTGTTCCCTGGAAAGCTAGATAATGAAACTGAAGCTCAAATACTTTGGCCACCAAATGAGAAGGGAGCACTCACTGGAGAAGACCCTGATGCTGGGAAAGATTGAAGGTCAAAGAAGATGGGAACGGCAAAGGATGAGATGGTTAGACAGTGTCATAGATGCAATGAACATGAAATTGAGCAAACTTCAGAGGACAGCGGAAGACAGGAAGGCCTGGCATGATCTGGTCCATGGGGTCGCGAAGTGTCGGACTCGACTGTGCAACTGAACAACAACAAATACTTCTTCAGATACATTGAAATGGTGTGTGCGCATGAAAACCTATACCATGAATAAAACTTTGTCGACCTTAAAGGTGCCACTGGACTCAAATTTTGTTCTGCTGCTTCAGACCAACACAGCTACCCACCTGAATCTAGATTTGCTGTATAACCCTTTTTAAAGAGTTGTTGTATAACCCTTTTAAAAATAATACATATGATGATTGAGCCAAATATTGAGCACTTTTGTGCCCTCATTGACTTCAACAGGGGAGTTACATGATCTGATCTCTGCAGTTGATGGGACTTTCAAATGATTAAGTTTGGCTACATAGACCCAGTAATTATGAAATCCATGCTTAGGAATACGTTTGCCAGCCTCCAGGTGGGGCCTGGAGATCAACAATTCTGCAGACTACAGAGATCAGTTCCCTTGGAGACAGTGGCTGCTTTGGAGGGGGGATTCTATGGCAATATACTCTGCTGAGGACTCTCTCCACCCCAAACCCTACCCAGACTCCACCCTAAAATCCCCATGTAGGAGCAAATTATTACAGTGAAAGCTGAAGCCTTGTATCAGCCCAAAACATGGTCATTGATATGCAGCCAAAGTGAAGTTTCTTCTGTGTAACATGTAGAAAAGGAACAAAGGAAGAAGTAAGGAAAGGTGAGAACTTGATGCATGCTAACCTGCATCCCACATGACTGTCAAACTGTAAGTTAGAAGACAATGATGTTTCTAAATGCCACATAACTGTTTACCATAAGGTAAATAATGCATAACTTATGAATCTAGAGAAAGCCACCAGTTCTTCTTAAAAATACATAGAAAAATTACTTGGGGTGAGGGAAGAATAACTTAGTAATGGTGCTTCTGGTGGAAGGCATTTGTACCCATCCAGGTAAGATCTCTAGTTCTTTGTACTATTTGTAGCCCCCCCCTCCAGAAGATCAAGGGATCCTGCAGAGCAGGAGGGGTTACAGTCGAGGCTCTTGGTGCCATTCTTTTCACGCAAGCACGTATGCTCTTGGTAACTCTGGATCCAAGACCAGGCTTTATTTTAATACAAATTTTACTCTTATTTTAAAGGTTTCTCTTTAGATGATGTCAAGTTATGTACACGTATGGGATTTAGAGCTGATGTAAGTATTCGCCGTATTTCTTTAACGGCAGTTGTATCATCTGGAGGCTGTGACATCATTTTAAAAGAAATTGGAGGTAAGCATACAACTTATCATGTCGTGAAAAAAATTCTTACAATTTGATATGCATTTCGCTTAATTTCATTGATAAAAATGCTTGTTTCTTTCATTGATAAAATTCTTAATTTCATTGATAAAAATGCTTGTTTCATAAAGAAGTTTTCTCTAAAAGAGATTTTAATATACAAAATATAACAGTATAATGAAACTTCCTGGAATGATGAAATTTGCAAATGTAAACTCTCTTAATTCAGGTATACAATAACTATGAATTGCTGCCATTCAGCTTACCACCTTCCTGCTGCAGTGGGAGACCTGCCACCACTAATGCTGCCATGGTGTGGAATGTGGGGGGTGCCCAGCTTCCTCTCCTTGTCTTCAGCCTTCCTTCCCCTGCATCTCATCTGCTGCGCTCTGTTATCTGTTTGGTGTCCTTGAAGGCTCGGCTCTGCCGGGTCCACCTTTCCCACTGGGAATGTAACTGCTGTATTTTGCCTGCGTTTACAGGGGCTTGCCTATTGGGTTCACTGCATCAGGGGGTCTGGTTTGAAAGGGGTATAACTGTACAGGCTATTCTTTCTCCCACCATTCCTGACACAAGAGTTCAGGGTGTCTCAAGTACTAACTCTCAATAAACTGAAACTTCTGAAGGAACGTTGTTGAGTGTTTTGACTGGGAAGCCTGACAACCGAGCCAGCAGGAGGAAACTCCTGGCAATATTGGGGGGCATTATTGGTGGCCCTGGCATGATGATGTCACTTCTGGCATGACCAGGAAGTGGTGTCATCATGCTAGATGATGCTGTAGTATTTATCCCTAATTCTCTGGTATAGTGTCACCCCTGACACAAGGACGGCACTTCTGGGTCATGTTGGAAATGATGCCATTGTGCCTTGGATGGAAATTCCTGGCTCCCCCATCTCTCACCAGTTGTCAGGCCCTTCCTGGCAACCCTAGCTGTCATTGTTAGCAGGGATCATAGCAGGCAGAAGCATTTTCATACATGGGACTTAAATCACCTTTGAGAATCAATTGAACATCTGATGGTTTGTGATGGTCGTGTGAGCAGAATTTAGCATTCTGGACTGTGGAGGTTGAATATTTGCTTTACAAAACCAATTAAAGAAAGAGGCCAGGGTATGACAACACCTAAAGTATTGCACAACACAAACTACTTATTACAGGAGAACCTATGACGTTAACTGTTTTCCAGTGCTGTTCATGGAGCATCAAACTTTATTTTCCCTGAATATTATCATCTTATTTTTATTACTATACAAGAAAACTTCCTTAGAAAAACAACTGTAAAAATAAATGCTACTTTTGCTTTTCGAACATGGCCTTTCAGTGTGATCTATGGAATGCCTAATATAAAATAAACAAAATAGCATTAACAGTCATAATTTCTTTACGTGCTATTTTGAATGTATTAATGGTGTACTAAAGGTTGGTTCTCCTATGTATGAACTCAATATCCAGTGACATTTGGTATCCTCAGGGGACAGGACTACTAATGGTTTTTGAGCCTGTTCTCAGTTACCTTTAGATAAATGTATAAACTGAGTGATTGCATGGAAAAACATGGGATTTGAAATGACATGAATGGACAAAGTCCTGCCTGATGTTTGAATATAGGAGTAGCCGTGCTAGATCAGAATAATGGCCTGTCTTGTGCAGCATCCTGTTTCCAGCAGTGGTTAATCAGATTCTGCAGCAAAACCCACAGACTGAGCCTGCCAACAGCAGTCCTCACCTGCTGGCTGCTCCCCAGCATCTGGAAATCACAGGCATCCAGCCTCTGAACCCAGAAGCTCCATTCAGCTCTCAAGGCTAATGACCAGCAATAGACCTACCACACGTAAATCTGCCCAACCCTTTTTTAAAATCAATATGAGCTCATGTCCATCACCACACTTCATAGCAGTGAGTTTGACAAAAAAAGTTCACACACTACCTGTTGTGTAAAATAGGACATTATTATGTCCAGAGGTCATTTCGGGGGGGATCGCGGGGGATCGCAGTTCCCCCGGGTGAGGTGTGGGGGCAGGGCACACGATGAAGCCACACCCCATGCTTCCAGCCGCCCCGCTTCCAGCCCCCATTCAGCCAGGAGAAGGCAGGAGAAGAGGGAGGGTAAGTTGCTTCCTCCCTGCCTCTCCCCACCCCTGCCTGCCTGGGGCCAGGGAGGGCCTTGGTGGGGCTTCCTCGCACTCCCGCCGGCCTTGCAGGTCCACCGCCGGGCCTTATGATGTCAGGGGGTGTGGCATATGCTAATGAGTTATGCTAATGAGTTCCCCTAGCTCTTTTTCTACGAAACGACCCCTGATTATGTCTCTCTTGAATCTACTGCCAGTCAGTTTCATAAGGTGACCCTGAGTTCTAGCATTAAGGGGAAAGAAAATGTATCTCTCTCCACCTTCTTTACACAATCGTGTTACCGTTCAGTTACCTCTTTTCTAAACCAGAAAATCTCTGATGCTTTAGCCTTTCTTCACATGTGTTAACCACCTTGAGCCTTGCTTCAGATCATTTTGGTTGCCCTTTTCTGCATTTTTCCTAGCTCTTCAATATTCTTTTAAATATGCTGTAGTTAGTCCTGTACACAGTATTTCAAATGAAGTGCACCAGGGATACTGGCAGCTTCATTTTCATTTTCATTCCTTTCCTGATTATTCCTTTTTCTGTTGCCATTGCATACTGAGTCAACATTTTCAGAGAGCTATCCACCACAACCTTAAGGTCTTAGTCTCGGTCTGCCATTGCCAGCTCATCAGCTCATCCATTTTGATGCTTCTTCACCCAATTTGGAGAAGTCCTTTTGGAATTCTTCATAATGCCACCATCCTGAATAATTTGCCACTACATAATTGTTCGCCCTCAGTTCTAGGTACTTTATGAATAATTTAAATAGCACCAGTGCCAACATAGTTCCCTGAGGGACCCTACTGCTCACCTCCTTCCTCTGTGGAAAAAAGGCCCTCTTATTCCTATCCTCTCCTTTCTCTTTTTTAGCAGTTTCAAATTGATGAAATGTCCTCTTATTCCATGATTGTTAAGTTTACACAGAACCATCTTGGTAAATGCCTTTGAATCTGTGATGCCCCATTTCCTCATAGAAATCATCAAATGATGCACATGCATGTGTGAACCAGTTACTGAACAAATGTTTTGTTACTCTCTCTATAGATAGCAAGGCTAAAAAGAGGTTTGTGGAGGACTTCGTAGCCGTTGTTCGTGGAGGTGCAAGTGAGCATGTTACGGGTCTTGCTTCCAAAAACCTGCCAACATCAGAAGTGATGAGAGAATGGGGAGAGGCTGTTCAGTACAACCCTGAAATCATCCGGATGAAGGTTGCATAAAAACATATGCAGTTCTATTAGCAAATATTTTGTATGCAGTACAAAGCGTTTGGAAACTGATACACTTTCAGAACATGACTTTTAAGTTTTCGAACTGAATTTGTAAAAAAAATATGAAAGCAAGATGGAAGAATCCATAATTAGCTGATTGAAAAGCTAGATAACCTGATGTATTAAATTTCACATTTGCTTTTAAAGCTTTTATTTGAGGAGGGTTGGTGATCAGATACTACGGCAGTACTCAGGTTATGAATTTCTAATTCAAAATCACACTCTGCTTATAATTAAGCATCTGACCATAGTATTTATTCTTATAATATAGATCATGATATTTTTTCTTAATATGGAGCAAAAATGAGGTTTTACTATGTATTACCTAGTATCTGAGCACATTATCCAAACATTATGGAAAACTCAAAGCATTGTAAACCTCTGCTGCTAGAAATGTATCTGATGGCACTTGGTATATGACTACTATGCTTTCTCTCTAATAGTTTATGCCATTATTCATAAATGCTATAAATTATTATTTATATTATAAAATATTTATAAATGATGTGCTAGCTCTCTAATAGTTTATGCTATTATTTATAAATGCGAGCACATTTATAAATGCAGCACATAAATGCTATTATTTATAAATGTGACCACATTTGTATTAATAAATGTGCTCTCTCTCTAATAGTTTATGCTCTATAAGTACATTGCAGCCCCTAGGATGTATTGTTACTACATTTAATTTGGTTCCCACCAAGGGCATACATTTGTTCAATGTAAATGCAATCAAAGAAAGCAGGCAGAGGCAATTATAGTTATGTTCAAGATGGCTCTGTTGGGATTATTCCTAGTCTGAAATGAGAAAGAGAGAAATCTTTTCGAAAGTGTTATCATTTACAACAATTTGGATAACTGAATATTCAACATGTGGCAAGAGTTTCTTTGTCTAGTTAGGGATTTGCTATCCCAACACATGTGACTTGGTCACAACTTTCCCTCTTGGAGGAAGTGAGCGAGAGAACTGAGAAGATGCCTGTGTCAGTCCCAAGGGCTTCAAATTTTTTTATTCAGGGTTAATTTAGACAAAAAAATGAGGTGGAAAAAATTATGTTTGTTTTTAACAAGCCTCTGACCTTGCATAACCAAGTTGTGACAATGCAGTTCACCATTCCTGATCCACTCATGTTTCCAGGATAGGGTTGCCAAATGGGCCCGGGGGGCGGGGAATCGCAGCCACATTGCGGACGTTTGGGGCGGGGCTGAACTCGTCGGGGGGGAACCCATATGGTTTCCCCCCCCCGACGAGCTTGGCCACACCCCCAATGTCAGCGATGTTGGTGACGTGCTTCTGGCACGCACGCGCCCTACAGGAACTCCCGGACCTCAGCGAGGCTCCCCCGCCACGAGGGGTAAGTACAGTTGGCAACCCTATTCCAGGAACTGGTGAAGTCTCTCCACATGCAGTGACAATTATTTATTTTTTTGAATTTAATGAGATTTTTAGGCTGCCCTTTCTTGCAAGAAAAGAACATACAATGAATAATTAAAAATTAAAACCAAGAATAAATAGATAATACATAGCACCAATAATTAATCAGTGTAATATAGTAATTCCAAGATGGTGGGGGAAATTCAAATTTCACAGGCCTCCGAGGGAGAGGGGCGGGCTTGCGGAGAGTGGAAACTATGAGACTACATAGTATACTGTCGTTGTCCTCAACCAAATGCCTGGCAGAACATCTCTGCCTTACATGCCCTATGGAAAGGTAACAAATCCTACATGGCATGGATGTTCTCTGGCAGAGAGTTCCACCAGATAGGGGCCAGGACCAAAAAAAGCCATGGCTCTGGTTGAGGACAGCTGGATCTCTCTCAGGCCAGGTACCACCAGAAAGTTCTTACTTCCTGAGTGTAATGCTCTTCTTGGGCATACTGAGAGAGGCGATCGCAAAGGTATGTGCTGTCTTCACCATCTCACTGAGAGATTTGGTTTCAGTGATATACCAAGTGGCTGAGTCCTGATTATTCTTTTCATGGAAGAGAAGCTGAGATTTCATACCTGTGCAGTCTCAAATGTTGACTACTCATGCCCATTACAGGGCAGTGTTGGAACCTGTTCTTAATCTAGCCACAGGTTATAAAGTTTTTTTCCCCCATCACTACTGTCTTTAGAAATGTTTCTACTTACAATTAACCTTTAGTCCTACCCCACCCTTACCTTCATTTAGTTCTTATTTCAATTTATTTCTCAGGTGCTTCAGAATTCATTGCACAAGATTTGGGGTTTGGGCTTGGTCTATATTTTCAGAGCACCCAAGACTACATTTTCCTAATCCACTACCTTTGTAGGAGATATGGAGAACAGGAAGCTGTGCACAGGCAGCAATACCCATGAAGGATGCTTGAAACCTGTGCCATATTGTACAATATTTAGGAATGAGGGATGGATCAGCTTCCCATGCTTCAGAGTTTGCACTGACACATCCAAATAGGAGTAGGGAAACCTGCCTTTGCTGCATAGGATAAAAACCGAACATGTAGCTTGAACTACCTTAACAGAGAAATGCTTGCATTTTATACAGAGCGTATTACCATAATTTTTGCTCTTCTCCTCTCTCCTGTAGGTAGAGCCGCTTTATGAATTAGTGACTGCAACCAGCTTTGCAAATGTCAATACCCTGAAGCAAAATATGAGGAGGGCCTTAGAGGAGTTCCAACAGGAAACCAGTAGTTGTCGTTGTGCTCCATGCCAGGGCAATGGGACCCCCATATTGAAAGGTGAGATCTGACCTCTAATTTTTCTTGTCCTATCTCCATAAACAAAGGAGAGTGTGATGTTTTTTCTGAATCTCTTCTTTAGTTTCTCTGATCCATTCCATTAAATATTATAAATAAAATATAATAAGATGTTATCAACATTCAAATGTCACTATTGTTTCATGGTAGTGCCACAAGATAAAGACAGCACACCTCTTTAGCAAGTAGAATGTAATCTTTGTCATTTACATTTAAGACGGCTTTCCCAACTCAATTATGCATAAAACACAAAATTGCAATCTGCTCAGAATCTCTTTCGGAAATAGCTTTGCCACGCGGAGCAAGATGACTAGCTGTCTGGCCAGTTTCTGTTTCTCCCAGTTCTTAGAAGATGAAATACCATCTGCAAGTACTTGAGATTGTTATCATTACTATTGCCAGAGATTCTGCATTGGGTGCTTTCTCTTGTTATCATTTTGGGCAGCTTGGACTTTAAAGGTGACACAGGCTTAAATGCATAGGGGGAAATAATTGTTTGAATGCAAAAAAGAAAAGAAAAGTGTAGCCTACAAGGCAGCTTGATGCAGCTCATTGGTCTATCAAGTCCAGTGTTGTCTACTCTGACTAACAGCAGCTCTCTAAGGTCTTAGGCAGAGACTTTTTCCTTACCCTGCTGCATGATACCTATTTAAGATGGAGATGTAGGAACTAAGTCTAGTGCATGTAAACCACTGGTTGGAATCCGCTCTCTTCTTAATGAAGATAAATTAGGCTGGGGGTTAATAATAAGAAAAACTATGCTCTGATGAGAGTTAAGTTGCCCTCTCTTGCTGAGGATGAGCATGCCAGGAATCTGAAGCAACCTATGCAGAAGTATTCCAGATTCTTTGGTACATGTATTGCATTTGCCTTTGACATGGTGAATCTTGATACATCCTTTTCTATGCTTGTGGCATACACTAAATAAGATGACCATAGACTTTATTATGCTGTTACATATATGGTAGATGGTATCAAAATACAGATTTGGGACCCTTCAGCCAACCTTACATTTCTAATAATTTTGACTACGGTTCAAATACCTTTGCATGTCATGCTGTGGGTGTGTGGCTTATGATATACACAAGAGGGGGACCCGCGATACTCGCGGGGGGGGAGAAGAGCTCCGTCTCCTCCAACCCCCCCTCAATCTCCCCGAGGCGGTGGCGGCGAGGCCGGTCTTCCCATCCCTCCGCCCGGCTCTGAGGCAGAGGCGGCAGCGGCGAGGCCGGTCCTCCCCCCCGTCCGGCTCGGAAGCGGCGGTGGCAGCGGCGATGCCGGTTCTGCCCCCTGCCCGCCTGGCTCCGAGGCGGCAGCAGCGGCGGCGAGGGTGGTCTTCCCCCCCACCCGGCTCCTAGGCGGAGGCGGCAGCAGCAAGGCCGGTCCCCCCCCGCCCGGCTCGGTGGCGGCGGCGACAGTGGCAAGGCAAAGGTGGCGAGGCCGGTCTTCAGCCGGCCGCCCACGGCGAGGCCGGCTCCGGAACTTCTTGTTGCTTCAGGAGGAGCCGCTGCTCTCTGTGGAGGAGGTAAATCTCTACCCTTCCCCCCCTCCGAAGCGAGGGCCGAATGGCCAGCCGCTCGGCCCTCGCTGCTCTCTCCCCCCTCGCTCCAAAGCGAGGGGCCCCCTCTCCCTGCTCGCCGCTCGCCTTTCAAACGGCGGCGGCGTTCGCAGAGCGTTCCCTGCGCGTGCGCAGGGGACGCTCTGTGAGTTTCGGGGGGATTTAAACATCCCCCCGAAATTTTTTTCAAGGTTTAGCATTTTTGTGCACACGTGGGGACCTCCCCACGTGTGCCCAAAAATCTCCCTGCCCCCCAGGTCGCCCCGGAGTGCGGATTTAGCGATCCGCACAGACGGGACGACTTGGGTATTAGATATATAGATTGTATAGAAAAGTTTGATGCAAGGAAACAAAAATAGCACATACATATTTTTTTGGAGTTTGATTTACACATGGGAGTAATAACATCCAAACAGGAATACTGGGGATGAAACATAATTTACATTGTACTGATCTGGGGTTATAAGTTAAGGGCACTCTCAGTTAAAATTCCATAGCATAGATATAATATCAGCTTTCCTGTATTATGACCAGCATTTCTTTGTGAAGAGGTATGTGTATGACCAATACAGTGCTGGAACTAATTCCTAGGGATGGGCACAAACCGGCTGATAAACTAAAGTTTGTCATGAATTTTGGCCAGTTCACGGTTCATGAAGTGATGTTGGTGAACTGAAGAACTGCCACGAACTTCCATGAATTTTGATACAGTTCGTGGTGGTTCATTAAGAGCAGAAAGCAGGGTGTCAGGTAGCCCTGTCATAAGTCTGGAATGTGGAGGGGTGCCCTCCCCTTTTCTGTCTCAGCTCTCCCTGGCTCACCAAGTGTTTGCTGTCTTATGCTTGACCTTGTAGATGCTACAGCTGCAGTTTGACTCGGCTGGGAAAGTTAACGGCTTTTTTGCTTTGCCTGCTTGCTTTGCCCGCCCACACGAGATGTATCCATTGGCTTATGCTTACCGAGGGGATGTTTGATTCTACTATAAGTCAGAGGCCCTTGTATAGGCGGCCATTCCTGACACAAGCTGTAAACGTGTCTCTAGTACTGGATCTATCAATAAACCAATAAACAGTTATCTTCTTATGAAGCGCTGTGTTGTGCGACTTGACTAAAGACCCTGACACAGGGGTTTACGAAAACAGCTGTTTTGGTTGAAATGGGTCAGAGCCATTTAAGCCACTGCTTTCTGCTCCCTGCAAAAAGCCATGGGGAGCAGAAAGCAGGGGTTTCCAAGCAACTGAGTGGCTGTCCCTACCACTCAGCTGTTTGGAAATCCCTTCTTTTCACTCCCTGCAAAAAGGACCAGATATGCGAACCGACATATCAGTTCATGATCTGGTTCATGGTTCACCAATGAACCACAAACCAAACCACAAAAAATGCAGTTCGTGCCTATCCCTACTAATTCTTGCCCCTCCCCTGCATTGTGTTATTTTGTTTTTTTGCCAGAAGACTGAAATATTTTCAGCTATTTCTTAATTGTAGTTTTGTGCATGTTAGGATGTGCTCAAGTACAACTCTCTTTGCCTTCTGTGCTTTCCAGGAACTCGCTGTGACTGTCTATGTCCTATAGGGCATCAAGGCGTTGCCTGTGAGATCACACAAAGGACAGGTAAGAGAAATCAGGAAAAAATGCTCCTTTTTGGAACAAGCAAATAGAATCACAAGAAAAATAACTTATTACTTCATTTTCCATCCACACGTTTTTCCCTAAAAATTGTTGTCAAAACAAACCAGTTCTAGAAAGTGTTCTTGGGGGAAGTCATGTAATCCTCTCGCTGTTTCATTCTCATGCTCTGCTACATTTCAACATTTACAACACAGCCCTTGTTGTTGGTCAGATCACTGTCTTCTTAAGACATGTTTGAGCTTGCTGCTTCCTCCTTGCAGGGGCAGTGGATTGATTTGGATGGTCCGCCCGTAGAGATAAATGGATCCTTGCAGTTTCCAGGTGGCTCTGGGGGATTTTGAGAGCCTCCTGGAGGCCCTTGTAGCTGCATGGAATAATTGGCTGACTGGGACCATATACAGAGTTGCTACTTGGTGTCCTCTTCCACACTTTGTGAGGCCCCCAGTTCATTGGTTTAGTAGGAAGTTGGGTGACATGAAGTGGACAGGAAGATGAGCAGAGTGACATTGGCGGAAGACTCTGTATGAATCTGAGAAAGGAGGAGGAGGAGGAGATTGAATTTATATCCCGCTCTTCACTCAGTCTCACAGCGGCTTACAAACTCCTTCCCCTTCCCCTCCCCACAACAGACACCCTGTGAGGTAGGTGGGGCTGAGAGAGCTCTGAGGGAACTGCTCTTCTGGACATAGAAATATTTTAAACAAATTTTAAATAAACCAAAGTCTCTCACTGGGCTTATTAGACTTTTTTTGTCTATGAAATCATGTCTCTGGTCATGCACTGTGATTTTCCTGTCTCCTTTTCTCTGCTGTACTCCCCCACCACCACCACTCCTCTTGAAATGCTGGCCCTCGGATTTAGCTCCTCCCTCCCCAGTGCTACACACAATATGGGAAGATTGGATGAAAATCCCCTCCGTCAGTGATCTTTGAACTGATTGAAAATAATGTGGGATCCAACCCACTGATTCTACTGGGATTTTTCAGAGTTTCATGAACCTGTGTGGACTATTCTACAGATACACCTACACCTGCATGAATCCTCAAGAATTTTGCTTTGCAGTTTCTTTCTGAAGAAATGTCAATACATTTTAGATTTTATTTTAAAATTCCATATTTTCATTTTTACTTTATATCTGACATTATCATGTTTCTAATTCCCTTGTCTACAAACTTTCCTGTTACTGTATGATCTACAAATGGAAATTCTTGGCTAAGATATTCCACTTACAATGACTGAAGTCATTAAAAAAGATTAGTATGCCATAGAATCCAAGCAGAATTTATCTCACACATGTGTAATATTTTCATACATTGTTAGTGAAGGTTGCCCTCTGTTTTACAGTCATTAATCCAGATTTCAGTAAAGACCCATCTTTCAAGTTTAAGACAACTGAAAATAGCACCCTGTTTCCAGTTTCAGTTGTTATGACCTATTGAGTTAAAAAAAATACTTAAATTGTTGAATCTAGCAGTCCAATTGTCAGAGTTGCTAACAGTGCAAAAAAGATAGGACAGATTTGCAGACACCGTAGTATGGTGCAGTGCCATTTTAGAAATGTGGGTTACCATTTTTGAGGTAAAGAAATTAAGTCATTACACAGTAAATTTGTGATCATCTCCACTAGTCCATGCTCTCTGGGATTTGCTGTGTGATTTCTCATTCCTAGTGAAAAGTACCTGAGGAAGTAGTAACATACAATTCTTTTGCACTTCTCTTAGCCCTTCTGGCACCAGTGGGCTTGATGGAGCATGGATTAACACTCATCCAAGAGGGGAAAGTGCACAAGGGAGTGGGCACTGGAGGTAATATTGTCCAGAGCTGTCAAATCTGGACCAGTCATTTCAAGCACATTCATGCAGTGAGGGATCAAATAGTCACATTCTGAAACATGTTTAGAAATTAGAGAAGACCTTCCAAAAGTTACATGAATCAATTCTAACTCAGATGAATTATAATAATCTGTCTTCCCTGTTGTTAAACCCATCTCTTCAACATCTGGTGCATGCAGAGTAACCATTAAGCCTAGGAGGGTGTGACATGTGTAAGAATGTCTAGTCTAAAGAAGGCTATAACAGAACTAGCAGAAGGAAATCATGTAAAGCAAGACTGAATTTGGCTCACTGTTTACCTATAAAAATTCTTTCTTATGACTATGGCAAAACTGATTTTTTTATAACATCACTCTAGATGTTGCTGTAGATGGGAATTGGAGTTGTTGGTCCAGCTGGTCAGCATGCTCTGGAGGAGAGCGGAGACGAAGTCGGGAATGTAACAATCCTAGTGCACAAAATGGTGGCGAGCCTTGCTCAGGTCTAAATGCTGAAACTGTTAATTGTTAATGGACAAAGCAGTTCTTAGGAAAAGAAGCAAATGGATGCTCATTTTTTTATTATTACTCTACAATATTTAGTTGATTTACAGACTTTTTAAATGTATGTAGCCTGATTCAGGCACTCTAACATGTATGTGCGGACTTCCTCTACTGCAAGATTTTCCAGTTGATTTCAATGAACACCCAGCTCAGCCGTTACATTATACTGTATGACCAGAATTGTCCACTGAAGTGAATGATGAAGCCCATATGCATCAGCATGTTTATATGTGAGTTAATATGAGCCTCTGGTTAAGGTGTAGATCTAATGGCAACTGTAGTCAGTCTATATGAATTCAGAAAATATACCAAATATCTTTCACCAATAGCATTTTGCATTCTATCCTATAGTTTAAAAGATGAAAATTTGCAGTTGTAACAATAGAAAATGTATACCTTTTCATATGGTTAATTTTTAAAAAATATAGAGTATAATTTGGCTGTTGTAAGATTTTACTGAATTGTATGTAATATTTCTGTTGGTGCCTAAAATATACATTTTCTAATAGTTACTAGAGGGTGCTTCATTCTGCTGAGATAAACAAATAAAACTTTTATTTGGAGCACTCTTATCTAGTATGAAACCTTTATCCCTTATCTAGTATGAAACCTTTATCCCGTGTAGTGGTGCTATACCCAAGCTCCCATTTATTGCATCAAATTTAAATTGTTCAACCAATTAAGAGATTGCCTTGAAGGAGAAGATCTGAATTCTGAAGCACTCTTAAATACCCCAGTGACACCCAATAATTTTAGAGCTGTGTAATATGATATGCTTATTCATTGGATTATTTTCCTCTATAGATTACTCTGTAGATGAAAGACATACACATGGGCCCCAGAATTTGATGTAGATATGCAATAAAATAAATTCATAATGTTCTTGGGCAGATATTTAGGATTTATGCAAATAAGCATTAACAATTGTATAGTAAATGGGAAAGAAGTTTGTTGTTTTAGGAGTGAAGTTTTAAGTTAACTGTTGCAAAAGAGAATGGGTATTTACTCAAGTTCTCTCTTCTCCAAAATAATTGCAGAGTCCTGTTGTCTTTCCTTTATGGTCAGTCTAGAAATGTCACATGACCTGTCGATCAGCATTCTACCCTTTACTTTCTTCTGGTCAATTCACCTGTTAGCAGAGTATCCCTGTATCTCAGCTGGGCAAAGAACGGCCTTGCTGTCTTTCTGCATTTATGTTGTTATTCTGACATTAATTTGAAATGTAGAATGAAAAACAGAAAATAAATCAATATCATTCCAGAGAAGAAAATCTGTATAATTTTTAGGACTTCCCCAAGAACATGCTGTATTTTGACAGCAGGCATTAAGTTAACCTTTCTGCGGGCATGTGTTTCGCAGAGGATCCTTGTATGATGAGGTTGTAACATCATGGCCTAAAAAAATCTGCCTCTCACCTCTCTACTTAAATTTTGTAACATCCAGTCTGACAAACTGTTCTGGTGAGATTGAAAGCCTGCACAATTTTAATGTCAATTTTATTGGTCCTAATGAAAGGTATTACAGAAATTTGTTCTTCTTTTTGGATTTTGCATGGACCAAAATGGCAGTTTATAACTTTTTTCTGTTCTAGAGACGGCAAGTCATACGTTACCAGCAGCTGGGTAGTTATTCTGTCCCTGTGGTCATTTCCAACCCCATCCCACTTACATACAGATAGTGCATCTATATGGGGATGTTCACCTAAACTTTGCTTTACCATCCAAGGAAGTGGCTCCCATGCTGCAGCTGGTACTGTATCACTTGCCTGTCGATCCTCTCAGCCCTGCTGAAGGATAAAAGCACACAACTGGATAATGTTGAGATGACTAGGCAGACTAAGCTGGCTAATGGTTGGTCCAGATTGGACTACGGTTACTGTATTATACAGATCCTCAATTCTGATTCCACACAACACCATAGTTTCGGGACCAGCCTTTCCCTTGTGCTAGGTAGAGACCATGTGACAAATTCTTATCCAAATAACACAACAATGTAATGTGTGAATAAGCCCTTAGGCCTTGTAACTTTTTAACATTTAGGAAGAAGTCTTTGGCTGTGTGTAGCATTCCACTTATGGAAACTGGAGATGATCATCTGAGATCCTCAGTCTGGCTCTTTTCGATTAATCCATTGTTGCAGTCACGCTCATTGACATTTCAACAGTGGAATATGCATTTGGTTTTAGTCCTTTTACTGCCATCATACTTAACCCTCCTGTTCTTTGTGACTGCTCTCAGCCAGAGAAAGATGATGTGAGAATTCAAAAGCAGAACAACCTGATCTTATAATAGGCAACACCTTTTTGACAAATGTTACTGACTTGCCATAGTGAAATTGCCAAAATGCTCATGAGTTGTTTGTTCCCAGGCTGTATCCTTTATGCTGGTGATTTCTCACAATACCAACAAAGTGGAAAGAAGAATCATATCATCTAACTCATTCAACAGTGGAAAGATTGTTAATGTCCATGATGTTCTCCTTCAATTTCAGGGGAAATAAGGCATAATAAACATTCCCCTTCCTTTGAAGTACTGTAGGATAGCATATTTGAGACTTTATTCTGATGGCTATAGAATATTGGGATCTTTGTTGTGAGGTGTTTGAGGACACTGAGATTCTTGAGGCAGGATTTTTAAAAAGAACAATAGTAGTGCAACTGAACAACAATAACAACAACAACAGTGTTTTATTGTATTACTCAGAACAGTTAAAATGCTTAAATAGTTACAGGCATAGGGAACAGTCTTCAAAATAAAGTTATGGCTTCCCCGAGCCTTATAGAAAAAAAATTCTGTCTGTCCCTGGTCCAACTGTATGGGTTGTTTTTTTCTTATCCACACTGTATGGCCTACAGAATTAGATATAATTAGATATAACAAGTGGTTTACTCACAAGGACTTGCAGGGGACATTTCATATTCCACTTTCCTGAAAGCGTCCATAGCTTATCCTGTTTTCTTACCTCCTATTCTGCTTCCCTGTTGCAGTTGCCTAGCAATGACCACTGAGGTCAGAGGGCATTTGTTTCTTCAGGCTACAGGTACTGCTTCTATTATTTGGGAGGGTTAACCACCCTAATTTGTTTGTTTCAATTTTTTTTTGCAAAGTTGGGGCTTTTCTCAGGTTTATAAAAACAGCTGTCTTATTTATCCATTGCTCAAGTCTCCGATTTAAGTATCAACAAATGGGGCCATGTTGAGAATTATCTATTGATCAATTGATCAATAGATACATATTCTGTCATCTAAGAAAATATTCTCATCGAGAGTTCATAATTGATTTTGATTTACCCGCTACTAATTGAATTAAAGTTACAAACTATTTTGGTATTTAAAGATCTCATTTTCTTGTGTATGTGAAGTTTGTTTAGAATACTGAATGACGTTCATAGAAGCATCATAATTCAATGCCACTGTTTTTATTCTTGAAGAGCTGGTAGTATCAAGAAATCTTCTGATTCTTCTTTAGTCTCCAGCTTCTGTTATGTTTTATGAAATGTTTAAATGTGGATTTCCAGTTATATTGGCTCCATTCCATCAGCACAGCAACAGCTTCTCCAAAGTAATGGCTTTTCTGTTTATGAAGGAGGGGAGGGCAGTTTGTGTCAGTTTCTTCCTTCTACAGCAGACTCCCAGCCCCCCATACTTTCTTTGGGTCTATTGACTCAAAGGAACATGAATTCAGTAAGCAAAGGAAGTAGGTGAGGAAGTTGCCTTTCTCTAGTGCAACTATGTTCACATTGCTTGGATCCAAGCCTATGTATATTTCGTGTTTCTAATTTAGTGGAGGGGACAGAGGCATAAGGAGTGGACCCCTCATTACAGACTGCTAGCCCAACGTTCAACAAGAGGCAGAAGAAAATGTTTTATTTGCACAAACTGACAGTCAGGCAGTGCTGCAGGGATTGAGGGGGGGGGGATAGAAGCAAGGACTCAGACTTTGTAATCTAGCAATAGGCAGCCTGCCTGTTTAGGGGATGAGGCAGAAAAGAGCAGAGATAGATAGGTAAGAGTCATAATCAGGAGAATGTAATTTTATTTGATGGTGGTGAGGAAGTTACACACAGGAATTTAGCTGAAACCAATGGAAACAAATGAAATGGATACTTCCCCTGTGTGTAGCACAGAGTGTCCTATGGGGTGGAGATTGTGCCGCAGTAAGAACTATTGGTTCAAGATCACAATTCTGTGTCTCTTTAAGATACAGGTAGCCCTAGATTTTGCCGTGTTTAATTGTGTTTGTGGCATTTCTATGTACAGTCTGCCATCAACTTGGCCTTGTTTCAGAAATACTCATTTTTTTCAAGCAAACAAATAATGGCAGTTTACTGAGTGTTCCATTGGACATGAGTGAATTATGTGATGCAAATTTCACTATCTTTTCTGATCATATATATGAAGCAAAGCTGCCAAGAGGCTAGAAACTCACCCTGCATCTATCAATTGCATTGGCTGTTACAAACATGCATAGCATCATAATGCTGAATGCCTCACTGAGTGAAAGTAAATCAAGACTTAGCACAGCAAGAGGGACTTCCGGTTGGTACGGCGTGACGATGGGTGCAGTCTCGGCTCCTCCAAGATGCCCGATCCTGTTGCGCTCCTTTTGGAGCCCCTCGGACGTCGGGGGGACTTTTCTAGATCTCCCGGAGAGAGGTCTAGTGCAGGGGGCTCGGTTGCAGCCCCTCCCATATTCGGCAATGTGGGGGGTGTCCGCTTCTGCCCTGAAGCAGGAGCATTTCCATGGAGTAAAGTATGGACGCCATGCTCTATATTAGCTACAACCATCCTTCTTTTAACCTATTGGGACTTACAACTGATACCAAATGCAGCAATGCAGAGAACAAAAAAAAGTGAGTATGTTTACTTCCGAATTCAAAAGTACAGAAGGAAGACAGAGAGATTATCCCGAACAAAATAACTAAAATGGAGAAGAACAGCGGCCGAAAAATACATGGCATGGGAGTGAT